ACTTGAGTGAACTCATCTTTAGATCATACTTCTTGATCCTTTCAAATACTATCCTCAAGTCAATCAAGTGGTCTTTTCTATCCATGCTTTTGATGATAAGGTAATATACATAACACTCGACCTTCTGATGATTCAATTCATCAAAAATATACATCATCTCCCACTGGTAGTTGGCACATGTATTCTTTAAGCTGAAGGGTATGACCATATAATAAAAAATGTCGACATGCATTCTGAATGATGTTTGCTTTTCATCTTCAAGGGCCATCTTGATTTGATTGTAACTCAATGATCCATACATAAATGATAACATATCATATTTGAAGGTGTTATCCACTAATAGCTCGGACACTAGGAGCAGAAAAGCATCTTTTGTGCTTGCCTTGTTGAGATCCCAAAAATTGATACAGACATAGATTTTAAAGTTCTTTTTCTTCACATGGACAATATTAGCTACCCTGTCGGCATATTTTTTTTAATAGATACAGCTTGCTTCTATAAGCTTCTTGATTTTAACAATCACATATTTCTTAACCTCCAATCTCATTCTCCTTAGAGCTAGCTTGACAGGTGTTATATCAGGCTTGATGGCTAACCTGTGAACCACTACATCAGAGGACAAGTGGCAAACCTGTGAACCACTACATCAGAGGATAAGTCAGGCATCGCAGCATATGTCCCGGAAAAATAATCCCTGAATTCATAGAGAAGCAATTTAATTTCTTTCACTTGAACTTCTGATAGATTAGAGCTAATGAATATTGGATGAGGGTCCTCATCAGTCCCCAAATTGATCTCTTTTAGCTCATCTATAGTGGCCGCCTATCCACTATCTTCAAGCTCTTAGGCTCGATTTCTACAGGCTGATCATCATACTCATCACTTTATAAATTTCTTTAGCACCACCATCATTAGATTCAATTTCTCCACATGTGTTGGCTTGACATATCTTTTTTAGGGTACTTTGTATGATGAATCTGAGACCTCTCCTAGCAATAATTTCTTTTCTTCATAATGCAAGGGTATTTCTTCAATACAAAAGCTTTAAGCAGAGGAAAAGCTATTGTGTAGGAGAGAAAATCATAGCCTACTTTTGCAACATCTTTTGGATATTTTTGATGATATATCTGAACATTCTCGTTGGCATTAACTCCCAATATTCGATGGGCCTATGGAGCCAATCTCAGTTGCCATCTTTTTTTTTTCTCTCTAGATTTATAAAATAGAGTTCCTGGTCATCTCTATTTCTTAGAGGAGGCGCATAAAATGTTATGAGCTCCTCAACTTTATGCACAACTCGGGCAATGATTTCTTTGAAATGTTATGGGGGAACACGTGTGACTACACATAAACTATCTGAGATCGATAGATTGTCTACTCTTCTCGAGGGTACACTTTGCACATTATTTATATAGATAGACTTGTAGTCATGATCATCGTATGAATATTTTGCCTTCTTTTTCCACCAAGCTATTGATTGACAATTTTTTTAAGATTCGATAGGGATGGCTTAATATTAATCTATGCCACTCCCTAGATGAGGCACATGTTTATTTACAAAACATGCTATCATTATTTCCTCTCAAAAATAGAAGTAATTCCCAAGAGCTCTTTCGAAATCTCTATTACATATAATTCAAACACATTTTCTATGAAAAGATAAAAATTAAGATTTCAAATAAGAGGTTATTTCTTTAGAAGAGAAGGGATTTAATCATACATTTAATACCTTCGAACTTTTTATTTACAATTAAAGAAACCGACAAAAATAACCTTGACCATGAAAGATGCAGGTGATGAATCATTCCACATCTTTTCTATACATGTTCAAGAAAACTTCTCAAAAGAGAAAATAAATTCTTAAACTTAACAGAAAAGAAATGAAAAGGGCATCCCCGATTTAACAGCTCAAAACATTCAAGAATCGTTGAAAATCCGAACAAGATTTGAGTTAAAAAAAATGAAAGAGAATCCTTCTCTTTGCAATAATGAAAAACAAGGGAAAGAAAATAGCCACATTTTCAATCTAGCAAACTTTCTTCTCCTTCTAAAAACGATAGCACTTAAACTTTAATAAATCATTTTTTTTTATCATCAAGATTGCTTAAAGGCAGAGAAAGGAGATGCGAATGTAGAAGATATACCTATAATAAAAATGACTGGTGGCTAGAGCAAATCGGACAGCGGCTGCTGCTGCAGTAGGGCTCGGCAGACTCCTTAAGGACGAAATCGACGAGAGAGATGGAGCAGGCCGGAGAAGGATAAGGGCTCGACTTGGGCTTCACGCGACGTCGGCTAGGGTAGGCAGACGAGGGAGGAGGCCGACTGGACTTCTCACGTAAACCGAGAGGGAGAGGTTTCTTTCTGTGTGTGTGAATCAGAGAGAGTAGCAGGGCTGAGGCTGTTCGTGCGAGCAGAGAGCGTGAGGGGTTCGGGATTTTTGGAACTACAGAGAGACGTGAGAGTGGGGGGAGTTCGGTTCTTGCGAGGGGAAGTTCCGAACGAGGGAGATCGGGAGTTGTTCTGTGCATGCGAATGAGAGGGGGATCGGGTGAGGGTAGTTCTTGCGAATAGAGAGGAAGAGGGAGATCGTGGGTGCGGTTAGACCGGCCCTAATTCCTATTTAATTAGTTTTAGTTTAAGTTATTAACTTAAAGATTTGATTTAAGAATTTTATTAGAAAACTTTAAATTTCATTAAATAAATAGATTTGATTTTTATTGAGTTTTATTGATTAGAATTTCTTGATCAAAGATATATTTAAAAAAAAAATTAATTGATCTTAACATTTTATTTAGATAATATATATATATATATAGTGTATTTTAATAAGTTAGTCGATTTTGGATTGAAATCAAAACAAATCCAACCAAACTTGGCGACATTTGATTAGTTTATTATACTTGGAATTTTATTAGACTTTAGATTTGAATTGAATTGATTTTGATTTGAATTTGTTTTGGAGTTGAATTGAAATTGGATTGAATTGATTTTGATTCGAGTTGAGTGATAGGTTCGAGTCGATGCTACGTCATTGGGTGTCCACCTAAGGGAAATCCTGCAGGTGCGACATCTACACTAGGCTATGAAGACCTAGGTGCTAGAATTGAATCCGGGGAAATTGACCTCAAATAATGAGGTCAACAGTGACATCCTAAGAAGTCCTCGTGTTGTACCCTTTTTTTTTAACCAGCCATCTCTTTTTTTCCTAGCTCTTTGCCACGGCCTAAGAACACTTAGCGGTGTTAGCTCGCAGCGCATTAAGCGATGAAACTCGCATCATAGGACCCGTGTAGGAATCCGGCGGGTCCTACATGGAAATCATGTGGGAACATCAATAACTTTCCACCCATGATTTTAATTCGGCAATACGACCCCATTCCAGAAAGCTTATTCTGAGCCGGATGTAGTGTCAATAGCCATAGGAATATCGACCACTCATGTGCAGCCAAAAAATAAAATTTTGATCCACTACAGTCTGTATGAATGAAGATGAATCAAAATTATCTCGTCACGGTGACAACTTAAGAATAATTTGAGACCATATTACTATGGGTGAGACCATACCAGCACTAGTACATCGCAACCAATCAGAACTCTATGGTTAAGTGTGCTTGGACGAGAGTAGTACTGGGATGGGTGAACTTCTAGGAAGCCCTCATTTTGCAACTTTTTTTTAACCAGCCATATCTTTTTTTTCTAGCTCTTTTCCAAGGCCTACGAACCCTTGGCGGTGTTGGCTCACCACACATCGAGTGACCCACATTATGGGTCCTGTGAAGGCTTTCGGCGGGTCCTATGTGGCGACCGAGCGAGAACATCAATAACTTTTTGCCCAGGATTCCGATTTGACATTATGACTCCATTCTGGAAAACTTATTCTGAGACAGATGGAGCGTTGATGCGGCATAGGCCCATCGGCCGGCCATGCGTAGCCAAAAAATTCAATTTTGATCCCCTATGTTCTGTTGGAATTAATATGCATCAAAATCTTATCTCCACAGCATGAACTTAAGAATAATTTGAGGCCATATTACTATTGGTGCGACGATACAATCACTGGTGCACCGGATCCCATTAGAATTTCATAGTTAAGCGTGTTTCAGTGAGAGTAGTCTTGAGATGGGTGACCTCCTAGGAAGTTGTGTTGCACCCTTCTTTTTAACCAGCTACTTCTTCTTTTTAGCTCTTCACTAAGTCTTACGAACCCTTGGCAGTGTTGGCTCGCTGCGCATCAAGCGATGAAATCCGCATCATGGGACCCGTGAAGGCATCCGGTGGGTCCTATGTGGCGACCGAACGGGAACATAAATAACTTTCCCCCAGGATTCTGATTTGGCATTATGACCCCATCCTGGAAAGCTTTTTCTATGCCAGATGGTGCGCCAATGTGCCATAGGCCCATCGGCCGGCCATGCGCAGCCAAAAAATGCATTTTTGTTTCCCTACGGTCTGTCGTAATAAAGATACGTCAAAATCATCTCTCCACGACGTCAACTTAAAAAAAATTTGAGACCATATTGCTATGAATTTGACCATACCAGCATAAGTGCATCGGATCCCATTAGAACTACACAGTTAAGCGCGCTTGGGAGAGAATAGTACTGGGATGGGTGACCTCCTCGGAAGTCCTAGTGTTGCACTGATTTTTTTAACCAGCCATCTCTTTTTTTCCTAGCTCTTCGCCACGGCCAACGATCCCTTGGTGGTTTTGGCTCACCGCTCATCGTGGGACCCATGAAGGAATCCGGTGGGTCCTATATGGGGACCGTGCTGGAACATCAATTACTTTCCACCCAGGATTTTGATTCGGCATTATGACTCCATTCTAGAAAGCTTATTCCGAGCCGGATGGAGCGCCGATGGCCATAGACCGATCGGCCGGCCATGCGCAGCCAAAAAATGCACTTTTGATCCCCTACGATCTCTCAAAATGAAGATTCATCAAAATCATCTCTCCCCGACATCAACTTAAGAATAATTTGAGACCGTATTACTACGGTTGCGATTATACTAGCATTAGTGCATCGGATCCCATTAGAACTTCGTAGTTAAGCGTGTTTAGGCGTGAGTAGTACTAGGATGGGTGACCTACTGGGAAGTTCTTGGGTTGCACCCTTTTTTTTAACCAGCCATCTCTTTTTTTTTTCTAGCTATTCGTCACGGCATACGAACCCTTGGCGGTGTTGGCTCACCGACCATCAAGCGATGAAACCCGCATCGTGAGACACATGAAGGCATCCAACGGGTCATATGTGGCGACCATGCCGGAACATCAATAATTTTCCACCGAGGATTCAGATTCGACATTATGATCCCATTCCGAAAAGCTTATTCTGATCCTGATGGTGCACCGATGCGTCATTGGCGCATCGGTAGGCAATGCGCAGCAAAAAAATGCATTTTTGATCCCCTACGATTTGTCGGAATGAAGATGCATCAAAATCATCTCTTCACGACGTCAACTTAAGAATAATTTGAGACCATATTACTATGAGTTTGACCATACAAACACAAGTGCACCGAATCCCATTAGAACTCCATAATTAAGCATTCTTGGGCGAGAGTAGTACTAGGATTGGTGACCTCCTGGGAAGTCCTCATGTTGTACTCTTTTTTTTAACCAGGCATCTCTTTTTTTTGTATCTCTTTGCCATGGCCTACGAATCCTTGGCGGTGTTGGCCTGCCACATATTGAGCGATGAAACCCACATCATGGGACCTGTGAAAGCATCCGGCGGGTCTTATGTGGTGACTGCGCGGGAACATTAATAACTTTCCCTGCAGGATTTTGATTTGGCAATATGACCCCATTCTGGAAAGCGTTTTCCAAGCCAGCTGGAGCGCCGAAGGCCATAGGCCCATCAGCTGGCCATGCACAACCAAAAAATGAATTTTGATCCCATATCATCTATTGGAATAAAGATGCATCAAAATCATCTCTCCACGGTGTCAACTAAAGAATACTTTGAGACCATATTACTATAGGTGCAGCCATACAAGCACTAGTGCACCAGATCCCATTTAAACTCCATAGTTAAGCGTGCTTGTGCGAGAGTAGTACTGGGAAGGGTGACCTCCTGGGAATTCCTCGTGTTGCATACTTTTGTTTTAACCAGCCATCTCTTTTTTTTTTTTCTAGCTCTTCGCCACGGCCAACAAACCCTTGGCGATGTTGGCTCGCAAAGCATCGAGCCATGAAACGTGCATAGTGGGACCCGTGAATGCATTCGGCGGGTCCTATGTGGCCACCGCGTGGGATCATCAATAATTTTTATCCCAAGATTTTGATTCAGCATTATGACTCCATTCTAGAAAGCTTATTCTGAGTCGGATGGAGCGCCGATGGCCATAGGCCGGTTGACTCGCCATGCGCAAAAAAAAATGCAATTTTGACCCCCAAACGGTCTGTCAGAATGAAGATGCATCAAAATCATCTCACCACGGTGTCAACTTAAGAATAATTTGAAACCATATTATTACAGGTGTGACCATACCAGGACTAGTGCACCGGATCCCATTAGAACTCCTTAGTTAAGCGTGCTTGGGCGAGATTAGTATTGGGATGGGTGATCTCCTGGGATGTTCTTGAGTTGCACCCTTTTTTTTAGCCAGCCATTTCTTTTATTTTTTTCTAGCTCTTCGCCGCAGCATATCAACCCTTGGCGGTGTTGGCTTGCCACACATCGAGCGATGAAACCAGCATCGTGGGACCCATGAAGGCATCCGACGGGTCCAATGTGGAGACCGTGCGAGAACATCAATAACTTGCCACCCAGGATTCTGATTCGGCATTTTGACCGCATTCTGAAAAGCTTATTCTAATGCGGATGGAGCGCCGTTGGCCATTTGCCCATTGGCCGACCATGTGCATCCAAAAAATGCATTTTTGATCCCCTTCGATCTGTTAGAATGAAAATGAGTTAATATCATTTACCTCCTGTGAAGTTCTCGGGTTGCAGCCTTTTTTTAGCAAGCCATCTCTTTTTTTTTTCTAGCTCTTCATCACGGCTTAAGAACCCTTGGGGGTGTTGGCTCCCCGTACTTCGAGCGATGAAACCAGCATCATGGGACCCATGAAGGCATCCGGCGGGTCCTATGTGATGCCAAGCGGGAACATCAATAAATTCCTCCCAGTATTTTGAATCGGCATTTTGACCGCATTCTAAAAAGCTTATTCCGAGCCAGATGGAGCACCGTTGGCCAAGGCGACCAACGGTGTCTACATAAGAATAATTTGAGACCATATTACTATGGGTGTGACCATACCAGCACTAGTGCACTGGATCCCATCAAAACTCAGCAATTAAGTATCCTTAGGTGAGAGTAGTACTGGGATGGGTGACCTCCTAGGATGTTCTCGTGTTGCACCCTTTTTTCAAACCAGACATCTTTTTTTTTTTTCGAGCTCTTCACCATGGCCTACGAACACTTGGCGGTGTTGGCTCGCCGTGTATCGAGCGATGAAACCCGTATTGTGGGACCCGTGAAGGAATCCGGCGGGTCCTACATGGCAACCACACGGGAGCATCAGTAACTTTCCACCCAAGATTTGGATTCAGTATTATAACCCCATTTCGAAAATCTTATTTCAAGCCCGATGGAGCACCGATGGCTATAGGCCCATCGACGGGCGATGCATAGCCAAAAAATGTATTTTTGATCCCCTACGGTCTATCAGAATGAAGATGCATCAAAATCATCTCTCCACGGTGCCAACTTAAGAATACTTTGAGACCATATTATTACGGGTGCGACCATTCCAGCACTAGTGCACCGAATCCTACCATAACCCTGCAGTTAAGCGTGATTGGGCAAGAGTAGAACTGGGATGGGTGACCTCCTGGGAAGTTCTCATGTTGCACCTTTTTTAACCAGCCATCTCTTTTTTTTTCTAGCTATTCGCCACGGCCTATGAACCCTTGGCGGTGTTGGCTCGCCACGCATCAAGCGATGAAATCTGCCTCTATGAACCCGTGAAGGCAAGAGTAAAACTGGGATGGGTGACCTCCTTGGTGGTGTTGACTGCGCCGAAACATCAATAACTTTCTGCCCAGTATTTTCATTCGGCATTATGACCCCATTGGAGAATGCTTATTCCAAGTCGGATGGAGTGCCGATGGCCATAAGCCCAATGGCTGGCCATGTGCAGCCAAAAAATGTATTTTTGATCCCCTACGGTTTGTCGGAATGAAGATGCATCAGAATAGTCTCTCCACGGCGTCAAACTAAGAATAATTTGAGACCACATTACTATGGGTGCGACCAAACCAACACTAGTGCACTGGATCCCATCAGAACTCCGCAGTTGAGTGTGCTTGGGCGAGAGTAGTACTGGGATGGGTGACCTCCTAGGAAGTCCTCGTGTTGCACCCTTTTTTCTAACCAATTATCTCTTTTTTTTTTTTAGGTCTTTGACACAGCCTACGAACCCTTGGCGGTGTTGGCTCGCCATGCATCGAGCTATGAAACCGGCAATGTGGGACCATTGAAGGCGTCCGATGGGTCCTACGTGGCGACCGCAGATGAACATCAATACCTTTCTTTCCAGGATTTTGATTTGGCCTTATGACCCCATTCCGGAATGCTTATTCCAAATATGATAGAGCGCCGATGACCAAAGGCCAATCGGCCGGCCATGCATAGCCAAAAAATACATTTTTTTATCCCTTACGGTTTGTTAGAATGAAGCTGCAGCAAAATCATATCTCCACGGCGTCAACTTAAGAATAATTTGAGACCATATTACTACGGGTGCAACCATACTAGCACTAGTGCACCGGATCCCATCAGAACTCTGCAGTTAAGCGTGCTTGGACGAGAGTAGTATTGGTATGGGTGACCTCGTAGGAAGTCCTTTTGTTTCTCCCTTTTTTTAACGAGCCATCTGTTTTTTTTTCTAGTTCTTCGCCACGGCCTACGAACCCTTGGTGGTGTTGGCTCGTCGTGTTGTGGATCTTTTTTCTAGTTTATGATTTTGATGATATCAAATACTTTTATTTCTCTATGAGTGGCTTATCTTCTGACATTTTAGGTCCACACGATAAGACTGCAATTTGGAACCAGCTCAAGAATGGGTAGACTAGGTCTGAGTCAGTTTGTACCCTTTTTTCCTTTCTTGAGTCTATTTTATTTGGTGTGGCTCCTGATGCTTTGTAACTTGGAAGATTTTTTACTATTTCCTAGAGTTTACTATTTTTGGTAACATCATCCGGGATGATTTTATATCGGCCTAGACGATCGGTTCAAAAGCAGAAACCCTGATGAGGGCATCCTCATTAAAGAAGCCGTCATTATGAAAAAACATCATCCTAGATAATTTTGTATCTGCCATGATGATAGGCTCAAAATAGAAAGAATCTGCCGCAATATCTATTTAGGAATTACTTATTTTTGGACATCATCCAGGGGATCGTCCAGGACTACAAAATATTATCCAGGATAATCCAAAACAATTTTTCCTAAATTAATCTAGCATTTAAGAAAAGTAATTATGACTTGATTGGACAATAAAATCGTCCTGGACGATCGCAGGATCCTCCGGGCCGATATGCTAGACGATTGGACATCGGAAAGCTCTTTTTTAGGGCGATGTTCAAGACAATATTTCACGATTTGTACTGATCGTCCAGGGCGATATATTATCGTCCTGAATGATATGAATAAATTTCTTCTGATCATCTCAAATCGTCCCGGCTGATTGGGCTTAAATTGCACTAACTGTACAAGACAATATTTATATCATCCTGGACGATAAAGTCAGCAACTTGCATTAATGAGCTCATTTTGAGATCATCTACTTAAGCTATGACATGCACTTGGTAAGTTTCTTTGGCAGCCATTATAGCTTCGTTCTTTTGGGGGGAACTTGAAGAGAGAGCTTCAAAGGGAGTGAGGAATGGGTGAAGTCTGAGAGGGAGAAGATCTTGTAAGGGGGGACTCAAGGGAGTGTGGAGGGGGATTTTACATGGTTGCTTCGGCAGGCTTGCACCTTAATACCTTTGGATTTAAGGATTGTCTTGAGGGAAGTTCACCAAAGAAGAAGATCTCTTTGGTGTCAAAGGACCCGGCGACTTCGCCGAGTGGGGAAGGTGGAAGTGAATTTGTAAGAGCTTCTCC